ATCCGCAGGGGGCCTCTCTCTCCCCAGCCGCCTCACACCACCTGGACATCACCCCAGACCCACTGCAGGTCTAAGCGCGGCCAGCAACACAGGAGCCATCGCAGGCCCATGGCCTTCAGGGTCCACGACCCTGCCACCCTGGGAGCCTGAGGGCACAGGTTACACAGCCCAGCAGATGCCAGGCCGGCGGGGTGATGGGCACGGCCCCAGGTCAGGGCGCTGGCTCCTGCCCCCGGGGGAGCGGACGGCACCACAATCCCACAGCTCGCAGCTGGGCCCAGAGTCAAGGGAACTCACCTCCCACCCCCCCTGGGGAGAGCGGCTGGGGTTCCTAGTGGGATCCCGAGTGCCGACTGTGGTTTGGCAACACCGCTCGCTGACCACACTAACCTTCCAACCTCAGGCCTCCCCGCGAGGGAGGAAGGGCCTCGGGCCGTCCCCACCCCCCCTGGTTCTGCCGGGCTGCCTGCCTGTGCACCCCACCTGCAGCCCCTGGGGCGACGCTACTCTTCTCTGGGCTCTGGGGGTGTTGGGGGGGCACAGGGAGGATCAGCTCACGGCTCCTTCCCCTTCGAAGGACCATGAACTAGTCAGTTCGCCAGGGAAGCAGAACCGATGGCTCGACCAGTGGATGGATGGGTGGGTGGGTGGATGGATGGATGGGTGGGCGGATGGATGGGGGGGTGGATAGATGGGTGGATGGATGGATTGGGGGGTGGATAGATGGGTGGATGGATGGATGGGGGGGTGGATAGATGGGTGGATGGATGAGTGGATGGTGGATGGATGGATGGACAGGTAGGTAGATAGGTAGGTAGTTATGGAGATGGAGGGGGAGAGGGTGTGAGAGGGAGGGTATGAGGAATTGGCTCATGTGGTGATGAAGGCTGAGGCGTCCCAGTCGGCCTGCTGTCCGCACGCCTCAGACCCAGGAAAGCCGGGCTGAGACCGAGGACCTGAGCCCCAGCCCGTGGGCAGGAGAAGGTGCGCTGAGCGTCCAGCCCAGCCGGAGAGGCCGGAGCACAGGGGAGTGAACGCCTCGCCCTGCCTCTCACTCTCGCCCTCCGCGGCTGGATGGTGCCTCCTCATGTGGGGGCGGCGGGGTCACTGCTCTGAGTCGCCCTATCCAAACACGGACGCCCTCACCGCCCCCCAGACACACCAGGAACGGCGTTTAACTGGGCGCACGTGGCGAGTCAGGTGCCAGGGGACACTGAGCATCACAGACCGGAGAAGCATTTCGTGTTTGCGCCACGAATACGCCCACCACTGAGCCAGATTCTGTCCAGGGCGGCCTGCGAGGCTGGTGGACGCCAAGGACCCACCTTGAAAGGGACTTGCGGCCACCCTAGCCGATGAGCAGGGCGGGGTGGGGCGCCTCCAAGGACTGAAGGGTCCCGGGTTCGATTCCAGTCAAGGGCACGTACCGTGGTTGCAGGCTCCTCCCGGCCCTGGTCAGGGTGCCTGCGGGAGGCAACCAGTCGATGTGTCTCTCTCCCTGTCGATCCCCCTCCCTCCCACTTTCTCTAAAATTCAATGGAAAAACACCCTCTGGTGAGGATTAGCTACAACATTCTTTTCAAAAAGGGACCTCGGCAGCCATCCCCGCCCGCGGCAGCGGCTCCCCCGCATGGCAGGCAGGCGGGTGCCCCTGCGTCGTGTCCGCATCGAGACGACTGTCCAGAGCGAAGTCACATGCTCTGCGTAAAGTAAAGCACGGGCAAGCGCGATGTCTGACATTAAAGAGCAGTGCTCGGAGGGAAAACCAAGCACAGATGGCCCGCCGGGCGTCGGCGGGCACGGGGGCGTGGGGAGGCCGGAGCGGGCAGCGTGTCCCCGGGAGCTGCGAGCTGGAGGCCCAAGGCCTGCGTTCGGAGGGCAGACGCCGTGAGCGCCAGGAACACGCCGTGGAAACCGGCCACGGGGTTTGAGAGATGAGTTAAAACTAAGACGCCTTGACATGTGCTCTGAGTTTTCGGGGGCCCTGTTCCCCCTGAAGCCTCGAGGGAGGGCCCTGCCCCTTCCAGCTCCAGTGGCTCTTGGAGACCCTCGCGCTGGCAGGTGTGGACGCATCGCTCCGTGTCTCCTCCGCCTTCACGGGCCCTGTTTTTGGTTAACCCTCCCCCGAAGGTATTTCCCATTGATTTAGAGAAGGTGGGAGAGAGGGAGAGACAGAGGGAAACATCGCTGTGAGAGAGACACAACGATCGGCTGCCTCCTACAGGCGCCCCGACCAGGGCCCAGGGCGGGCTGGAGCCTGCAACTGAGGTACCTGCCCTTGACCGGAATTGAACCTGGGACCCTTTGATCCCCAGGCCAACACCCTATCCACTGAGCCACACTGGCTGGGCCACCTGCCCTTCTTATCAATACACCAGCCGCTGGATTCAGGGTGCTTTCTGCCCCAGGGTGCCCTCATCTTACCTACTGCCCTCCACAGACCTCTACTCCCCACCAGGCCACAGTCTGCGGCTCCAGGCGGCACCACTAACCCCACGGGCTGGGGAAGGGCCGTTGTCTGTCCCCCAGGTCGGAAGCTGGCTCATCTGGACTTGACCTGGGGCCTTGGCCGCATCGGGGAGGCAGCCCTGGGAGGTGCTGAGGTCCAGCGTGGAGGACGGCAGGCCGCTCTGCTGTCCGTCCACGTGACGTGTGTAAGATACCTTACCGGGAAGTCACCTTACCGGGAAGTCACAGCGACTGGGGGGGACTTGTTCTCAGAGCAAAGCCCAATCCGGACAGCACACTGGTCACCGGAGAGGGACACGGATGGAGGCGACCTGGTCCCAGGCCCGCGTGGACCCGCGGCCTACGCTTGGACGAGAAGCTGGCCCCTGGAGGCTGGCTGTGGAACGAGGCCTAGGAATACATTCTCACTCTCCCCGAGGGCGTAGACACCCAGGCCCAGGCTCCCCGTCCAAATCGCTCAGGCGTCTTCTGAGCAGGGAACGCGTTCAGTGGCCACTGGGCCCTGCGGGCGAGCACTGTCACCTGTGAGGACACAGCTCACCCGTGTGACACAGCTCCCCGGCACTGTCCTGCCGCCTGGCACGTCCTCTCTGCAGGTTCCCTTGCTCAGTGCCACACCTCGCAGCTCCAGTGGCCCCTCAGCTGGCTCCACACCGAACTACCCCTCCCTGTGTGCACAGCCCGAACCCCTCCCTGTGTGCACAGCCCGAACCCCTCCCTGTGTGCACAGCAGCGCGACAGACACACCTGAGGAACGGGAGGGAGGAGGCCGCGCCACACCCTTCCCGTCCCCCCTGCCAGACACCAGCTCGGAGCTGACCGTGTCCTGAGGGCAGGCCCGGGTCAGAAGTGCAAGCATCTCTCCCCCTGGTCTCTGCAACCAGACGTCTGAAAAGCCCCGATGGAAACGCTGCCTCAAAGGACGCGCTCGCTCCCGGCTCCGGAAACGGCTGCGCGGAGAGGTGATGGCCCGACGCTGAGCCAGCTCCCGGCGCCGCTGACTGCTTCCCACTGAGCCCGCAGCCCAGAGGGGCCGCCGGGACCCAGTCCCTCACCCAGAGGCTTCCAGACCCTCCCCCTGCACCAACACCATCCGGCCTGGCCAGTGCGGCCCAGCGGTTGGAGCTCGGCCCTCGGACCGAAGAGCTATGGGCTCGATTCCCTGCCAAGGGCACGCACCTCGGTGCAGGCGGTGGCCAGCAACGTGTCCCTCTCGCATCGATGTTTCTCTCTGTCTCTCCCTCTCCCTCTCCCTCTCCCCAAAAAGCAACGGGAAAATGTCCCGGGTGAGGACGGAAGAGACAACGCCCGTCCTTCCTGCCTGAGAAATGCTGCGCTGATTCAACCTGGCGAAACCCAGCGGCCTCACAGCCCAGAGGCGACAGGGGAGCAGCTCCCGGCTGCGGTTACCCTGGGCGGCTGCGGGGAAGGTGGCAGCTGCTTCCGGCGCTCAGAGCAGGGGGGGGGGGGGGGGGTGCGGAGTGCGGTGCCGAGACCCAAAGCCGCACAATGTGAACACCAGCTAGAGTGCAGCCTGGTCCGTGCAGGGACCTGGGGCACCCGCGAAGCTCCGCGTGCTGCCCTTCCCCGTCCACGCGCCCTGCCCTTCCCCGTCCACGCGCCCTGCCGTCGGCCTCTCCTGTTCTCTGACCTGCACCCCAACCCCCCCCCCCCCCCCGGCCCAGCTCATTCAAGGGCCCAGGAGGCCCAGCCACAGCAGCGTTTCCGTAAGAAACAAAGCTTTATTGAGGCCCCAGTTTAGTCCTCAGAAAAGCTGGGTTCAGTCACATAACCTCAGGTCCCTTTCTGCCCTAAAATGTTCTGATTGCCGCCCGGCCAGCTGGCTCAGTGTTTGAGCGTCAACCTATGAACCAAGAGGTCAGGGTTCAATTCCGGTCAAGGGCACGTGACGGGTTGTGGGCTCGATCCCCAGTAGGTGCGTGCAGGAGGCAGCCGATCAAAGAGTCTCTTATCATTGATGTTTCTCTCTCTCTCCTTCTCCCTTCCTCTCTGAAATCAATTTAAAAAATCAAATAAAACCCAAAAACCAGATGGCCAGTCGTGCCCCGTCCCTGCTCCATCCAACCCCAGGCTCCTCGTAGGGTCTCACTTCCCACCGCGCCACCCGCGGAGCCACCGCGTGCAGGGGACGCACACAAACCACGCTGTGCTCGCTCACGGGGGGAGTCAGGCCCCAGGACGGGGCCGACCCAAGCGGCCACCAACCCGCCCTTCCCACCTCCTCACGGCTCCCCATCCCTCGCCTTTCCGTCTTCCCGGGAGACCCCACACCCCGCCCCACCCCAAGGAAAACGCTGCCTCACCCCGAACTGCCACCTGCCGGGCCAGCCCCACGGCCATCGGTGGACGAAGCAGGGGCACAGGAGCAGGAAAAGCCCCCACACCCACCTCGACGCCCACCCACGCTCTGTCCCCCGTGGGCCGAGAGCTTGACTCAGAAGATGGAACAACTGCCTGCAACGCACCCGAAGTTCCCGATTTGTCAACAAACAAACAAGCGCAGCAGCCGCCACAGTGAGGGAACGTGTATTTCACAGTCGTAAGAAAGCACAGGCCTGCTCACGCCCAGGTTGCCCACCACGGTCCCCTGGACCCGAGACGGCGAGGCATTTCCGTCGGGGGCTCCGGCTGACGCGGCCATGACACGGGCGCACAGGCGAGACAGGCCCGGGGCACAGAGACAGCGCGCTCGTACCGACCGAAGGGAGTCAGGCTCTCCGTATGAATACCAAAATAACAGCGTCGGACATCTCCTCGCTCACCCGCTCTCACAGGTCCGACGGGTGCTCACACACGGACAGGTGCGCCCCCCGCTCCCCCCCTCGCCGGGCCTGGAGCGGCCGCGTCCGCGGTTCAGTCACCAGCGTGGCCCAGCGGGCGGGCCGCACGGGAGCCGGCCACGAGGACGGGGACAGCGACAGGCACACGCTCGTCCACGAAGCTGGACACAGAGGGACACGGGCGAGGAGCCCACACAAGGCACGTACGTGCAGCAGCGGGAAGCCACCCTCAGAACAGGCCCCATGTCCATGGACAGGCCTTTTCCAGACGCTTCTCTCAGCTTCCAAAGCTCTATTTCCAATGGAATGTTCCAGAACCCGGACTGGAGCCAGACAAGGGAATTGCAGCCACAGCCCAGGAGGCCCGGGAGGGAGCGGGGTGGCCCCCGCTAGGGAGCGCAGCTGCAGGTCCGTCCAGGTGAGCGAGAGGGGGCTCTGCAGTGACTCGGGGCTCAGGGCTCAGCAAACACGCCCTTCCCCTCGCCCAGGCAGACGAGGTCTCCCTGGCAGACAAGCAAAGATGAGCCGCCCTGCTCCTGGGCACTGCCCGGCCACCATGCCAACAGGCATGGTCTTTGCCGTTCTCCCGAGCTGAGGCCGCTCCCGTGGGCTGAGGACACGTCCTGGGGCGGCCGCCGTGGTGGCTCGTGTCCCTCCTGCACCGGCCAGCACGGAGGACCCGGCCGCTGTGTAAGCTGCCCCTGAATTAGCCCCTGTGCACCCTGTGCCAGTTCTCTTTCCAGTGCTGCCCAGGCGCCAGGCCCACAGACGCGCACGCAGGGGGCGCGGACAGGGAGCCGAGGGGCGTGTGGGTTCCATCCTGGGGGAAGATGTGAGCGCGGGGCAGGGACTCGGAGCTGCTTTCCTCTGAGAAGACCCGGCGCTGAAGTTGGCCTGTGATCCCTCCAGGCGAGCTCACGGCAAACCGGCTCCGCTGGAACCTGCGGGCGCGCTCTCCGGGTGGCGAGGACACCGCCTGCACCGGCGTGGAGGGACCGTGCCTTCCAGATGCATCCGCGCCCACCTCAACCATCTTCTCTAAATGACCCACGGACACTGCGCTCCGCCTCCCGGGGGTCAGGGCCACGCTGACACAACGGCGCGAACACAGGGCAGCCGGGCCTGCAGGTCACATGGGCACCAGCCACCACGGCATGGCCTGTGTGACTCCTCACGCCTCCACGCTCATCCTCTCCCGCAAACACGTTGGGTGGGCCCGTTCCCAGCTCTCCGTGGGCTTACACACCATGCAACTTCGGTGGAACCTCCCGTAACGAAAGGCCACCTCGGGGAAGAGGCTCCACCAGCAGCAAGATTCACCCAAGAAGGAAACCGGCAGAACCTCGCTGCGGAAATGAGCCCCTTTCACGGGTCCCCATCGGGCCGGTCTGTGCCCAGCTGCCCCTGCCCGCTGAGGGGCCAGCCCATGGCCACGGCTCCTGCCCGTCTTCCCGCGAGGCCCAGCTGGCGATCCAGGACAGGAAACCGTGGCTGGACGAGGGGCTGGAGGACACGGCCTCAGTCCCCGTGCGGTGACCGTGGCCGAAGGGAAAGTGATCCAGAGGCAGGCAGAGCACAGTGAGGAGGAGCCTGGTAACAGCCATCCCCTGAGCACCTGGGGCCGATGCAGGTGATCCCAGGGCTAATGCAGGTGTGCTCTCAATGAAGGTGCTCCCGGGGCCGATGCAGGTGTGCACTCCGATGCAGGTGCTCCTGGGGCTGATCCAGGTGCTCCCAGGGCCGATGCAGGTGTGCACTCAATGCAGGTGCTCCCGGGGCTGATCCAGGTGCTCCCAGGGCCGATGCAGGTGCTCCCGGGGCTGATCCAGGTGCTCCCAGGGCCGATGCAGGTGCTCGCCCCAGCCCAACTGAGGTGACGGGGGAGCGAGGAAACGAGCGTTACTGGCTGTACCCCAGCCCACCTGCTAGGGAATCCCAGTATCTGCAGGTTCTGACGCCAGACGGGGTGGAGCAGGCGTGGGGCCTGGGGCTCAGCTGCCCCCAGGAGGGAGCTGCGTGGCTGGAGGCCGGGGCCGTGCAGTTCCTGAACCTTCGCCTGAAGGACTGTGGGCTCGTACCATCGCTTCCCTGGGGTGGCCAGTCCCGCTGCTGCCCAGTTAGCACTGGCCCTGGACGGCCTCGGCCATGCTGAAGGGGAGGCTGACGGGCGCCGCGGGCTGCAGGGGGGGCAGGCTGGCCTCCAGCGGCCTGTCCGCGGGGGGCTGCAGGCTCTGGTGCCGCTTCCTCAGCATCTGCCCGATGCCCATCATGGGGAACCGGCCCCGGCTTTTCACACAGTTGGGGCTCCCCAGGGGCTGTGGGGAACCAGCACTGGGACCCGGAGGAGGGGAGCACACGCCCCCCTCTTTCGGGAGGCAGTTCTCTTCGTGAGCAAAGGAGACCAGGGTGGGATGCAAAGGAGTCTGGAGAGGGGACGGGCTTTGGGGCAGCAGGGAGGGAGACAGCGCCCGCTCCCCGGGGGTGCCACGCCCCGAGCCCCCGGGGGAGCCCAGCGCCCTGCAAGGGTGGGCCGGGGACAGCAGGTCCGGCGGGTCTTCGCGCTCCACAGACTCGAAGGAGCGGACCATGTCTAGCACCAGCGGCTCCTCTCTGGGGGCGATGCCGCTGCCCCCCAGGCCCTGTGGAGGCGGCTCCGGCTTCTTGGCAATGCGGGGGGTCCTGGGCGGGGGGCCGGGGATGAACTCCATGGAAGAGGAAGCCACACAACTGGGGTCCGAGGTTTTGCGGAAGATACTGCGGCAGCCGAAGGAATCTGCATGCGGAGAGAGCACAGGGCACCGTGAGGGCACCACCTCGGGGCCTCCCGCCGGCTCGGCCCACAGCCTGGCTGACACCGGGCGCCACCGAGGCCACGGGGCACAGATCTGCCTCCTGGCACCAGCGTGGCATCTGCTATTGCTTGGTTGCTGAAAGGTCTGGACCCTGCAGAGCGTTTGAATAAAAGGTCCCAGGCCCTGGCCGGTGTGGTTCAGTGGCTGAGCACTGACCTGCGGACCAAAGGGTGCCGGGTTTGATTCCAGTCAAGGGCACGTACCTCGGTTGCAGGCTCCTCCCCGGCCCAGGCCCTGATCAGGGTGTGTATAGGGGGCAGCCGATCGGTGTGTCTCTCTCAGCGATAGACGTTTCTGTCTCTCCCTCTCTCTTCCCCTCTCTAGAGGTCAACGGGAACATCCGGGGGAGGGATTAAACAAGGCCCAGGCTCCACAGGGCAGCCACCGAGGCCCGAGTGCTGGGAGGGCCGTTCCCTCGTGGCTTCTTCGTCGTGGTGACAAGCACATGACACACGCCAACCATCTTCGTACGGTAAGTGTCCAGGTCAGTGTACGGGACGGTCACACTGCGACAGTCCTCCTCCCTGCAAATCTAACACGGGCCCCACTAACCACCTCCCCCGCCCCGAGCCCGGGCCCCGCCATCTGCTCCCTGAGCTTGGCCACTCGAGGTCCCTCCTGTAAGTGGGTCTACACGTTTGTCCTTCAGTGACCAGCTTGTCCCACTTAGCGTGACGTCCTCATGGGTCATACATGTTGTATGCAGCCTGCGCTTTCTCAAGGCTCCCTCATGACCCTGATCTCAGCGGAGCCTCCTCGTGCTCTGACTACACAGACAGAAGCCCTCTCTGTCTAAGGCAATGAGCCAACCCTGGTTCCCGCCCCGAGCTGGGCAGACGGGGCCCGTGTCGGCCGGCGGTGCCCACAGAGAGAAACACCCCCAGCGTGGGGCCCAGGAAACCAGCCTCGCTCCTGGGCACAGGCTGCGCCCGGCTCCTCCCGCCACTGCACGTCTGACAGCCCAGGACAGACCACTGCACCCCACCTCTGTGCCCACCATACTGTACCCCACCTCTGCCTTCTCAGGCCCCTCCTGCCCAGGTGGCTGACAGCATAGTCAGACCTCGACTGTGCTGCTCCCAGGTGGCCTCAGGTGCACTAACTCTGCTTTCCCACGGTCACAGGATCCTGTCTGTCCCTGGGGCCCATGCAGCCACCCGTGAGCGAACACGGCGGCCAGGCAGCCACTGGGGGGGGGGCACGGCGGCCAGGCAGCCACTAGGAGGGGGCACGGCGGCCAGGCAGCCACTGGTGGGGGGGGCACGGCGGCCAGGCAGCCACTGGGGGGGGCACGGCGGCCCGGCAGCCACTGGTGGGGGGGGCACGGTGGCCAGGCAGCCACTGGTGGGGGGGCACAGCGGCCAGGCAGCCACTGGGAGGGGGCATGGCGGCCAGGCAGCCACTGGTGGGGGGGGGCACGGCGGCCAGGCAGCCACTGGGAGGGGGCACGGCGGCCAGGCAGCCACTTGGGGGGGGGCACGGCGGCCAGGCAGCCACTGGGAGGGGGCACGGCGGCCAGGCAGCCACTGGGGGGGGGGCACGGCGGCCAGGCAGCCACTGGGGGGGGGGCACGGCGGCCAGGCAGCTCAGTGCGTGCGGGTGGCCTGAGGGCGGTGGCGCACCCACCTCTGTCGGGGGGGCCGGGCCTGGTGGCCTTGCGGTCGCGCAGCAGGGCCCTGGTGCTCTGAAGCTGCGTCACCAGCGAGGCCGGGGGCTGCCTGTGCGCCGGCAGGTGCTTCTCCAGCTTCTGGGGAAACGGCCGGGGAAGGAAGTCCCCCTTTTTCTCTTGCTCTTTGGGAGTTTTGTCCTGCAAATCAGAAGCAAACACGGGCTGAGACGCACGCGGGGCCTGGAGCGCGATTCCCGTGGGAAGGTCATCGCGCAGACCTGAGACCCCGCTTCCCCACGAAGAGCCGGGGCCGCTCCAGGGACCCCACCGCTCTGCCCAGGCCACCTCGGCTCCCGTCGCCCCTGGCAACCTGCACCGTGAGGTGCCCCAACCGGCCAAGGTCACCCCGGGAGGCCGAGGATTCCAGAACAAGCTGGGCGAACTAAGGCCAAGCAGAGGGGCCTCTGCAGACCCGCCTCCCACGTGCGCCCTGAGGCTCTGCCACGGCGGCGGCCTTGCGACGGGAACGGAGCCCCTGCTCTGGGCGGGACACTCATGCGAGTTGTCAAGGCGAGGAGCTGGGCCCCCCGGGGAGTGTCCGACCCGGTGGAAATGGTCATGAGCCCTTCATCGTGTCCTTAAACCGGCACCACCGAGCCATCGCCGCTGCCAAGTCTCTACAAACCCTCCTGTGACTGATGGAGGGGAGCTGGCAGGGGGCGCAGAGCCCAGGGCCCGGGCCGAGTCCCGCCAGCCCTCGGGGCACCTGTGACAGGCAAGTCACGTGTCAGGTGGGCCAGGCCACGCACCCGGGGTTTGGTCACACGTGTTCAGAGGCGGGTGTGAGGGGCGGGCTGTAGAGGAAGGTGGGAAGCAGCCCCTGAGTCAGCAGCTCACCCTGCGCCGAGGTGGGCCTGGTGCCACCAGGTGAGGGTGGTGAGGGGAAAGGCGGAGGGGCTGAAGGTGGAGGGGCTCTGCGTCCACAGGCTGCGGGACTCCGTCCCCTGGGTGTCCACGCGGGAGACACACACAGCGACACGTGCTATTCCCTGGAGGCTCCAGCTGATCCTTCCAGTACCCTACATGCTTACCTGCCCCGTGTGGAATTCAAGGTCTCGCGTCCAGGTGTCCAGGGAGGCCTGTGGAAAGCAGCATCCGTCAACCATCTAGCCCACCCCCTGCCCCTCTAACCCACCCCCCGCCCCTCTATCCCACCCCCCGCCACTCTAACCCACCCCCTGCCCCTCTAGCCCACCCCCTGCCCCTCTAACCCACCCCCCGCCCCTCTAACCCACCCCCTGCCCCTCTAGCCCACCCCCTGCCCCTCTAACCCCCCCGCCCCTCTATCCCATCCCCTGCCCCTCTAACCCACCCTCTGCCCCTCTAGCCCAGCCCCTGCCCCTCTAACCCACCCCCTACCCCTCTATCCCAGCCCCAGCACCAGCCCCTGTGAGAGAATTATTCACGCCAGTGGTCACACAAGAAACCAAACTCCGGGTCACCCTGGACGCGGCTGCAGGTGCCCTACTTTCCAGGCGTCTCTTTGCGAGTCTGAGGCGCACGGGGCGTCTCCGGAGACGAGTAAGCAGGTCAGTGCGTTTTCTCAGACAGCAAAGCCTCCCCAGGGAAACGGCACCAGGTCAGGAGACAAACCCGACCGGCACCCAGACGTCCTCCTGCCCAACCCGCGTCGGTCCCCCAGGCGCCCGCTGCTCTGATTTCCAACAGCACCGACCGCTCGAGAAACGTCGCTTCAAAAGGGTCAGAAATGCTGAAATAAGGCCCAAAGTGGACATCCCGTCCTCGGCTCGACAGTCCCCATCACGGAGGAACGGCACAGGGACTCCAAGTCCCTGGTGGAGTCCCAACCCCCGGGTCCTCAGAACGGGACCTCACGGGGAGACAGGGCCAGGGCGAGCCGGCGTTTCCCCCGGGAAGCCTGCGGACGGCGGGCGTGTGACAGCTCGCTGTCCTTTGCCTTTTAAAGGAGGCCGGGTGGTGTCACCCTGTCAATCAAGTTAAAACGAGGTCACAGGGCAGACCCCAATGCAGTGCGACTGGTATTCTTATGAAAAGGGGGAATTCGGCCCAGCCAGTGTGGCTCAGTGGTGAGCACCAACCTTTAACCAGGAGATCACGGTTCCATTCCCGGTCAAGGGCACAGGCCTGAGCTAAGGGCTCGATGCCCAGTGTGGGGCATGCAGGAGGCAGCCGATCCATCATTCTCTCTCATCACTGATGTTTCTCTCTCTCTCTCCCTCTCCCTTCCTCTCGGAAATCAAAATATTTTTTAAAAAGAGTCAAATGCAAACAAAAGGGTAGCAGTGAATTTCTGCCTCGCCTGGTGCCCACGCCGATGTCTGTCTTGGGTTAAGGGGTGAAGGTAGCCGGCAAAGGTTCCAGCAGAGAAGGGACAGGGTCCATTAGGGGCAGACCAGCTAGGAGGCTGGGGCGGGGCCAGGGTGGAGGCGATGGGGGCGGGGCCAGGGTGGAGGCGATGGGGGCGGGGCCAGGGTGGAGGTGATAGGCAGGGGGGGGGGGGGGGGATGGGGACAGGAGTGGGGTTGGAGAGTTTTAGGAGCCAAGTTGGCAGAGCCTGGTGACAGCCTGGCGCTGAGGCGAGGGGAGGAATGAGAAGTACAGGAGGTTTCTGCCCTGGGCTGAGGGGGCGGCCACGAGGAGACAGAGAAAGGACGTGGGGGTTGGTCTCGGGAGGCGAGGTTCAGGACACCTTCCTTGGGCAGGAGGAGGTTTAGGAGGCTCAGAGGGTGGAGCTCAGGGAGTCCGCCCCCGCCCCCCCACCCCGCCCGCTCAGCCACCGCTCCCCAAGCCGCCTCCCAAAAGCTCATCTCCATCCTGGACCTGCTGGTGCCGGAATCCTGACTCAGAAGCACCCCAGCAGCTCCATCACCCCAGAGTGGACGGGAGGGGCGGGTGGGGGTGCACCGGGCACCCCATCTCAGTGCCCTGGAGATTCTATGCTGAAAAGGGGCTCGGGTCCCGGGAAACTTTCCTTTCCACCCCCACCTCCCCCCAGGGAAGCGGCTGCTCACCTCGCAGGGCTCCCTGCCGGGCCGGCACCTGTCCACCGGGCAGAGCGGGGCCTTGGAGCAGACGCCGTCCTGCAGGTCGGATTTCTACCAAGAGAAGAGGAAGCCGCGCTGACCTCATGGGCACTGACCTCACAGACGCGGCCGCGGCCGTTAAGCCGTCACTCATTCTCAAACCCGCGCTGGGCCGAGAGCCCCCAGAGCGGGAGCCAGGCCCCCGCAGAAGCCCATCCCGACGCCGCCCTGGCCCCAGTCAGGGCCCTGCTCCTCCAGCAGCTCAGCCGGGAAGCACCGGTTCGGTCCCGGGCGGCCCTGCTCCTCCAGCGGCTCAGCCGGGAAGCGCCGGTTCGGTCCCGGGCGGCCCTGCTCCTCCAGCGGCTCAGCCGGGAAGCACCGGGACCACCGGCTCAGCCGGGAAGCCGGTCCCGGGCGGCCCTGCTCCTCGCCGGCCTCAGCACCCGGCTGTGCAGTGAGTTCCTGAGCTGTGCCCGCCGAGCCCAGGTCTGGGCCGGGAGGTGACGCCCTCTGAGCTGCTGCACAGGCTGCAGACGTGGGTTATTCGCTCCCCCACACGCAGCCCTCGTCCCTGCCGGCCCCCCCAGTAAAGGCCCGTTTCTTGATTCTTTCTTTCTTTTTCTTTTCTGTTAGTCCTCACCCGAGGACATGTTTCCATTGAGTTTTTTAGAGAGTGGGAGGGAGAGACAGAGAGAAACATCAATGTGAGAGACACATCGATTAGCTGCTTCCCGCAGGTGCACCGATCAGGGCCAGGGATCGAGCCTGCAACCGAGGTACTTGCCCTTGACCAGAATCGAACCCGGGACCCTTCAGTCCTCGGGCCAACGCTCCACCCACTGAGCCAAACCGGCCGGCGTGCTTTGCTACCGTCGTATCCCCCGTTCGGGCCAGCCAGCCTCACCTCAGGGTGAATGCACAGCACAGACCCCAAGTCAGCTGTGGGAAAGGCCATCATCCCAGCGCCTTGTCCACAAAGGGACATGCACACGCGAGGCCACTCACCCCACACGGACACGAGGCCACTCACCCCACACGGACACGAGGCCACTCATCCCCGACACAGACACGAGGCCACTCACCCCGACACGGGCACGAGGCCACTCACCCCGACACGGACATGAGGCCACTCACCCCCGACACGGACACGAGGCCACTCACCCCCGACACGGACACGAGGCCACTCACCCTGACACGGACACGAGGCCACTCACCCCGACACGGCACGAGGCCACTCACCCCCGACACGGACACGAGGCCACTCACCCCGACACGGACACGAGGCCACTCACCCCCGACACGGACACGAGGCCACTCACCCCGACACGGACACGAGGCCACTCACCCCGACACGGACACGAGGCACTCACCCCGACACGACACGAGGCCACTCACCCCCGACACGGACACGAGGCCACTCACCCCGACACGGACACGAGGCCACTCACCCCGACACGGGACACGAGGCCACTCACCCCCGACACGGACACGAGGCCACTCACCCCGACACGGACACGAGGCCACTCACCCCGACACGGACACGAGGCACTCACCCCGACACGGACACGAGGCCACTCACCCGACCGACACGGACACGAGGCCACTCACCCCGACACGGACACGAGGCCACTCACCCCGACACGGGCACAAGGCCACTCACCCCCGACACGGACACGAGGCCACTCACCCTGACACGGACACGAGGCCACTCACCCCGACACGGGCACGAGGCCACTCACCCCGACACGGACACGAGGCCACTCACCCCGACACGGCACGAGGCCACTCACCCCCGACACGGACACGAGGCCACTCACCCTGACACGGACACGAGGCCACTCACCCCGACACGGCACGAGGCCACTCACCCCCGACACAGACACGAGGCCACTCACCCCCGACACGGACACGAGGCCACTCACCCCCGACACGGACACGAGGCCACTCACCCCCGACACGGACACGAGGCCACTCACCCCGACACGGACACGAGGCCACTCACCCCGACACGGACACGAGGCCACTCACCCCCGACACGGACACGAGGCCACTCACCCCCGACACGTAGCGCTCGAGCTTCTTGTTCAGGAGGAAGTAGACGGCGAGGATGTGGCAGGCGCGGTTGGCCAGCACCGTGTTGATCACGTCGCTGTTCTTGTAGCCCAGCTTCTGGGTCATGTGCAGCACGACGCTGGGGCTCAGGTCGGCCAGCGAGATCCTGCGGGACGGGCTGTGTCAGCTCTTCCCCCCCGCCCCCGGACCTGGGAGGGGAGCTCAGACACGGGGCCAGTCCGAGGCCCGGAAGGGGCGCCCAGACACGGGGGACAGTCCACTGAGGCCCGGGAGGGGCACCCAGACACGGGGGACAGTCCACTGAGGCCCGGGAGGGGCACCCAGACACGGGGGACAGTCCATTGAGGCCTGGGAGGGGCGCCCAGACACGGGGGACAGTCCATTGAGGCCTGGGAGGGGCGCCCAGACACTCGGGACAGCCCCACGGTCATTCACCTGACTTGCCATTCGGGAAAAGGCCACATAGACAGAGGTCGAGGGGATGGTGTAACGACCCTAAAGGCTGATGTGCCATGTGAACACTCCTTTCTTCCTTCTCCTTCCTCCTTCCCTTCTCTCCTTCCTTCCTAAGTATTTTAAACCCCAGCCATTGTGACATGTCATTCCTAAAACACCGCAGCCTGCATCCTTTAGAACACAGATGGGGAACCTCTTTCTGCCAGGGGCCATTTGGAAATTTATATCATTCGCAGGTCATACAACATTATCAGCTTGCCCGGCAGTGGCTCAGAGGTGAGCATTGATCACACATGTAAATCCCGTTGCCCAGGCACAGCTGAGCCGCCTGCGGCAGAGGGTGAAGGTGCCCTCTACACAGGGTGAGGGTCGCGGTCCGATGCCCGGTCAGGGCACGTGCCAGGTTGTGGGCTCGATCCCCAGTAGGGGGCGTGCAGGAGGCAGCTGATTCATGTTTCTCTCTCTTTCTCTTCATCTCTCTCAAATCAACATAAACTTTTTGTTTTAGAAAACGTAAAGAAAAAAGAATACAATGACCTGAAGATTGCCAAAACGCTGAACACTTAGGCTCAATGTCTGAAACAACCTGGTAAAGGGCCCTGGCCCTGGCCAATCAGACCCCTGCCCATGCACCTAACCTTGGCCAATCAGACCGCAGCCTCGTAGCATCAGCCTGGCCAATCAGATGACGGCCTGGTGACCCAGCCCTGGCCATCCACCCGTGGGCACACCCAGTCAGCCCCCCTCACTGGGCGGTCTGGGTGTGGGCGCCACCAGGTGCGGCTGGGGGCGGCGGCGAGAGGAGGGACAGGAGCAGACACCCCATCTCTGCAGAACCAGGACAGCTCTGCCCCCCGCACCCCGCTGCCTGCCGACCCAGCAACACGGAGCCTCCCTCCCTCAGCGGTCGGCCCTGAGCCTGTGTTCTCCTCCGCGTCTGGACGACATGACGGGAAAGCGTTCCGGACCGCGAGGTGGAACGAGTACGTCCTGACATCCGCGTGGAGGCCGCTGTGGTCAAACTGCCCCGTGTCACCAACGCCCGCCCCGTCCGCCCTCTGCCCAGAGCTAGCGGGAGGGACGGGAGGCTGTCCGGCCGGACGTCCAGCGGACTGACCGGCACGTCGATTGTGAGGTTGACCTGTGGCGACATTTCCCTCTCGCCTCGTGGAGATCCACGGGAGGCAGCCCCCGCCTCCACCAGGCAGCCCGACGGGGCGCGGGCGGTCCGTCCTCACATCCTCCTGCGCACGGAGGCGGCGTGTCTGGCCTGGGTGGGCGCGGAGGGGGAGGGCAGCCACGAGGCCACCGTTTGCAAGAGTCACGGACAGCTTCCTGTCCAGACCACTCAGGGCTCTGGGGACTGGCCTGTCTGGCCAAGGAGGCCTCTGTGGTGCCTGGCCTTCCTGCTGGGGAGGTGATGGGTGGGGCCTACCTGCTGGGGAGGTGATGGGTGGGCCTACCTGCTGGGGAGGGGGTGGGCCTACCTGCTGGGGAGGTGATGGGTGCGCCTACCTGCTGGGGAGATGATGGGTGAGGCCTACCTGCTGGGGAGGGGGTGGGCCGGGCCTACCTGTTGGGGTAGGTGACACAGGGCACCCTGCCCGTGTGGCTCTCGTGCAGCCAGCGGTTGGCCAGCGCCTGCTGGATGTTGGGCCTCTTCACGGGGTCGGGCTCCAGCAGCGAGCGCAGGAAGCTGACGGCTCCTGTGGAGACATTCGGCCCAGACGCCCGGTTACAGGAGGAGGCAGGCGTCAGGGAGACTCAGGCAGGGGACCCGCCTCCCAACCACACCCCCACCCCGAGCCGCCCCCTGGCTCTCCGGGGCCACAAGTCCACGGGGTCTAGGACACTGTCCAACAGCTGCACCTGGGGCCTGTGCCCACGCTGCCCGGTGCCCCTGTGCCCTGCCCCGTGCCACCCTCTGAACGAGGTCCCGGCTCGAAGGGATGGGAGAGCAATGCGGACACACTCCTCTCATGGCAGGTCTCCGTGCTGGAGGAACCAGGGGTCAGGGCCTGGAACCAGACCCTCTAACGCAGTGGTCGGCAAACCGCGGCTCGCGAGCCACATGCGGCTCTTTGGCCCCTCAAGTGTGGCTCTTCCACAAAATACCACGTGTGGGCGCGCACGTACAGTGCGATTGAAACTTCGTGGCCCATGCGCAGAAGTCGGTATTTTGTGGAAGAGCCACACTCAAGGGCCAAAGAGCCGCATGTGGCTCACGAGCTGCGGTTTGCCGACCACTGCTCTAACGTGGCCGCATCGTGCGACAGTGGAGGCTCAGGAAGCAGCGGGGAGGGGTGGGGAGGGGCGTGCGCGCGTATTCTTTCCAGTCCTTTCTTCCAAAGCCTCTCCACGGCCATGTGGCCCCCGACTCGCCACGGCCGCCCTGCTGTCCACGCACTGAGCCAGGCAGCAGGCCCCGAGGCCCCCAGACGCTCCTCTCTTCCCTCCAAAGCTCAGAATTCTGTTTCCTGAGGCCCCTGACCTTCCGAGGAAAAGCCACTGAATTCCCACTTCCTCACGGGCGTCGCTGTCATGTCAGCTCTGAACTTTACGAGTGACGGGCGCTGTCTGTCCACGGGTGTCTGCAGGGAGGGACGAAGCCGTGGACAGAGGGGCTGCCCGGGGTGCGGCTCAGTGGCTGAGCGTCGACCTATGAACCAGGAGGTCAGGGTTCGATTCCCGGTCAGGGCACAGGCCCGGGTTGTGGGGATCAATCCCCAGTGTGGGGCGTGCAGGGGGCAGCCGCTCAGTGATTCTCTCATCACTGATGCTTCTCTCTCTCCTTAAAGTCAACAAACTGTTTTGAAGATACATGACTGTCTTTCCTCTCATCTCCGTGCCCTGACGTGCCTGGTTTTCTTACTCTAGACCTCCCGCCTGTGGGTTCAGGTTTCTCTGCCCCCCGTGGCTGTGAGAGCTCCGTGCCGGGGAGAGCGAGCCCGTCCTGTCTCCTGCTGTCCTGGCGCGGGCATGCCCCTCGCCTCGCGCTGGCGCAGGATACACTCGCGGAGTCACCGAGTGACCGGGAAGCCTGGACGAGTGGAGGGGCAGCCACAGTGCTGGCGGCCTCCCAGCGTCTCCGAGAGCTCCAAACCCAGCGTGACGACTTGTTCAACATCTGCTGACTCCGAGCTGGACCCGTCTCCCCTGAGCACGACTTCCCTCCCCCCACAGGTGACGCCTCCGCGCCCGCCCCCCGCGCCCGCCCCCCCCCCCCCCCCCCCCCGCCTCCCTGGCGAAGGTGCGCGTGGAGACAAACCAGGTCGTTTCAGACCAGAATGCTTTCCCACTGGGATTCTGTTTTGCAAACCAATTCAGGGTCAGCTTCGTGGATGCTTATAAACTCAAGGACAGACACACAACAATCGTCAAACAAAATGCCATCTTTTAACCACTTTTCATGAGTTAAAGTGGAATCATGACTTTTTTCCAGCCGCATGCCTGACCTCCTGAGACTGAAAAAGCTGAGTTTATTCTAAGGAGCCAGTTCGATGCTGTCAACACCAACCCAAGACCGGGAACGTGAACTGTCACCCACACAAAAGAATAAACGGTATCATTTACCGGATCTGAAACCAAGCCCTGATGCGAACTGTTTGCGGAAACGTGAACCGCGGGCGTGGGAGCGTCTGCTGCCAAGCACCCGACGGACCGGCTCATCGGGCAGCGGCGTCTGTGTATTTAAAAGCCTTTGTCCCGCTCAGAGGCTCAGACACTCAGCAAAACAAGCCACAGGCCAGCCTCGAATACAACCAGCGCTTCCTCCCCGTGAGCTGGAGGAACACACAATAGGACGTGATTGCCAACGCTCTTTTCCGCGGCAACATGTCACAGGGTGAGCTTGACAGCAATCAAGCCCGCAATTATTTCCGCAGTGGAGCCTCTAAGAGCCTTTCCCGTGCGTGAGGGGAAGGAAGGAGTTTGTCGGGAATTCTGATGGGAAGGGACAGAAGGAGGAGAGGTGACCGTGTGGCCGTTCGGAGCCGGGAGACACAAGCGCTGGAGACTAGTCCCAGCTCTGGGGGGGGGCCTCGGGCCACGGCGGCCCTCACCCCTCGCAAAACCGACCCCGCGCTCTACGGGCCCAGCAGCCGGCGCCCGCCCTGGAGGCCTCGACGGGCAGCAGGCGCCTTACCTGTGGAGAGCTGGGTGGGCAGCGGGTTCATCTCCTTGTCCACCATCTTCTGGTACAAAGCCCTCAGGCTGAACGGCTCCACGGTGAAGGGCAGGGTCCCGGTCAGCATGGCGTACATGTTCACGCCTCTGAGAGAGAGCCGAGTGAGGCCCGAGGGCAGGACAAGGCGGGCAGGGCTGGGCCGCCTTCCTGTTCTGTCCCTCCCCAGAACCTTCTAGAACCTCAGCCTCACACAGAAGCAGCTGGGTGAGGGCAGGGGCGAGAGTGCAGCTGCGGGCCGGGCACTGGAGGGCGGCACAGAGGTGTCTGCGCCTCTAAGAGCTGCCCGAAAGCCCGGCCGGGTGGCTCAGTGGTTGAGCGTCGACCGAAGAAGCAGGAGGCCACGGTTTGATTCTCCATCAGGGCACATTGCGGGCTCCATCCCGGGGGGGGGGGCGGGGGGGCATGCGAGAGGCAGCTGATCCATGGCTCCCTTATCATTGATGTTTCTCTCTCTCCCTCTCCCTTCCTCTCTGAAATCAATAAAAACATATTTTTTAAAAAAGAACCACTAGACACCTGTCCCAGAGCCTCTACCCCAGGCAGTTCTCAACCTGTGGGTCGCGACCCCTTTGGCGGGCGAACGACCTTTCACAGGGGTCGCCTAAGACCATCCTGCATGTCAGATATTTACATGACGATTCGTCACAGTAGCCACATGACAGTGATGAAGTAGCAACGGAAATAATTTTACGGTTGGGTCACAACATGAGGAGCTGTATTTAAAGGGCCGGAAGGTGGAGAACCACTGCTCTACCCCACACGCTCTCATCACTCAGGCGCGGATTCCGAAGGGAGGGGCGCTGGCTCCGGAGCGGGGACTCACATGGACCAGACGTCGATCTTGGGGCCGTACTTCTTCCTGGCCAGCAGCTCGGGCGCGGCGTAGGCGGGGCTGCCGCACTGCGTGCTGAACGGGTCCGAGTGGCCCAGGATCCCCGCGCAGTTGCTCAGTCCGAAGTCTGCGAAGGGCGGACAGACGCTCCGGGTCAGAAAACTGTGGACGCGAGGGAGGAAGGGCAGGAGGCAGAGGAAGGGGAACCCCCAGGCTAAGGCCTCGCTGAGCGTTCGGAACCCCGGCGGCCGCCACCGATCACCGTGGACGCGGGTCTCGGCGCAGAAGGGGGGCAGCGGGGGCCCTGGCTCCTCCGGACACACCTCCCATCAGGCCTCCCTGCACACCCAGCTCAGCCCCAAGAATGCGGCCCCGAAACCTGTTTCTCTCAGCCTCAGCCATGAGTCGCCCAGGACAGGGCGCTGTGCCTCCCAGGACCCGGCAGGAGGCAGGGCCCCCCCAGCCTGGGGGACAGGGACCCGCTTCCACCCGGCCGCCTGGGAAACCGTGGGGAGACCGACGGTCTGGGGCTGGTGGCTGGTGACCGTTAGCCCCGCGTAGCCCTGGGTGACACGCGGCCCCACCACCAGAGCTGACTTTCTGGGCTGACTGTCTGCGTTCCCTGCGAGTCTGCGGGAAAGTGCTCCCCGTGGGGACACAGGGCTCTGAAGGGGGAGGGGAAAGACACCCAGTGACAGGCCACGCGGAGGGCGGGGCGGCTGTGAGAACAACGCCAGAAAGAGCCACGAGAACAGCGAAGTGAGCGCAGAGCTTTTTACAAAGTATGTTTTTACTGATTTCCGAGAGAGAGGGAGAGGGAGAGAGATAGAAACATCAGTGAGGAGAGTCATTGGCCGCTGCCTCCTGCTCAGTGGGGAGAGCCTTGGCCCGCGGACTGAACGGTCCCGGGTTCGATTCCCGTCACGGGCACGTACCTCGGTTGCAGGCTCCATCCCCGGCCCTGGTCAGGGCACATACGGGAGGCAACCAATCGATGTTTCTCTCTGTCTCTCCCCCTCCTTCCCACTCTCTCTAAAAATCAATGGAAAAATACCCCCGGGTGAGGATTAACTCCCCTTCCCCCCCCAAAAAAAGAAAAAAATGAGGAATGCAGTTTCTGCTAAATAAATGCAGTTCCCGGGTGCGGCGGGCGGGGGCTCTTGGTCTGAGCTGCTCTGACAGGCTGGGAGCCACATGAAGGTTCTAGCAAAGGGACAGCGGCTCTCAGAGCCCCTCCCGCAGGGTCGGGGACTCCGGGTTCTGACCCCCAGCTTCTTCCGCGTCCCCTTTGGGCCCAAAGAGCCAAAAAGCCTATTTGGGAGCCGACCGGAGCTGCCGGGCCGAGGGGTGACGGCGGAGGCACGGAGGGAAACGGCCCTGGTCTATGGCTGTCTGACCGCTACGCCCGACACCTGAGCTGACACAACGTAACAGGAAATGTAACCTGCCATTGAAATGAGTGTTTAAAGCATCAAAAGCATGAGCCATAGAAGGAAAAGAGCCCGGCGGCCAGCGTGGCTCAGTGGTTGGGTGTCAACCTAGAACCAGGAGGTCAGGGTTCGATTCCCGGTCAGGGCACGTGCCTGGTTGTGGGCTCGATCCCCAGTGAGGGGCGTGCAGGAGGCAGCCCATCCATGACTCTCTCTCATCATGGATGTTTCTCTCTCTCCCTTTCTCTCTGAAATCAGTAACAAATATATAATTTTTTCTAAAGCAGAGAAGGGAGACTGCGGTCCCCGGTTCCGGTGCCCAGCGTTCACCGGCGAGTGGAGCACGGTGTGGCTAAGCCACGGCAGCACCAGAACCAGCAGTTCCCCCCGAGAAGCCTCACGGTTCCTCCAGATAAAAGGACCCATGAACGCTCGACCCGCCCGAGTTCACGGAGGAGCCGGAGCCGGAGCCGGAGCCGCCCACGGAGCACGTGGGATACACGTTACTCGGCTGCGGCGTTCATGCACGGTCCCTTCACAGCACTCCGCCTTCCGCTGGGTTTAAATTATTTTAAAATTCATCTTCGTTTCAAAGCCATGACTCGATACTGGAGGTCGAGGCGGGACGAAGGAGGACTGTCTGGGGACTGAAACAGCCCGGGAGCCGGCCCTCAGTCCGGCGTCCGGAAACAAGCCGGCGGCCGGGCCAGCACACACCGAGGACCCA